TCAACACTTGCAAGTTATATGTCATGAAAAGCACACACACACACACACACACACACACACACACACACACACACACACACACACACACACACACTCACACACACACACACACTTGTGTGACCTTTAAAAACTATAAAATCGGAATTCAAGCTCTGACTTTAAAATCCATGATTACCGCCACCTAGTTAAGTTAGGATGACATGAATATTTGCATTCATGTTTGACATAGCTGAATTCTACTTTTAATATTTTAAAAGTAAAATAAAATGCCCTCTCATTTATGATGTTGTATTTTGAAACAGGCACATCATGGCTTGCCCTCAATGTGGAACTAAACTCGAAGGGTCATTTAACATCTGTCCTAAATGTGGCTTCAAGTTATCTGCCCTGACTGAAAAAAGTGCTCAAGGTAGGTGTCATATCATAACAGTAAAAATTATATTAACGCTAGTCCAAGGAGTTCATTTGTGGTACCACAGGTGAATATTTAACAGGTGAGAAAACTTACTGGACATAAAACATAAGTGTATCTTTTCCACTATCAATAAAGACTTTATGAATATTTTCCCTCCACAGTATTCTAGTTTGGGTTGCTATAAAAATGTAAATGATTGTCTTGTCTTATCTATATATATTTGCATAGTAAAAAAAACCCAACAACAACTTTTGCCAAATTCACGGTTGTTTGATATATGTAACTAACCAAGCAATAATGGTTAAACAGATGGTGCCACATCAGCACATCCAATTTCAACCACTGCTGAGGAGAAAAATCAAAAGGAAGATCAAGACCATGCTGTTAAAGAAAGCACTACTCAAATACAGGTGACAAGGCTGAGAAATACATGTTATATTTGTGAAGTTACATATGTAATAGGTAATTTATCCAGCAATTTTGATTGAGAAATAAAAATAAAAATCCTCTTTTTGAAAGTGAAACCAAGGTTTCATACCAAAGTGATCAACTGCAGTAAACAAGCTCTTAAAAACAGAGTAACCAGTTTCTGCAGTCCTTCCACACTCACGCAAATATTTCTTGTTCAGACAGTGTGCTAACTTACACGTTTCACTAAGGTATGAGACTGCAAAGATGAACCTTATGTTTGACATAAAAAGTGGGACAGCTTTTTATGTGTATTAGATTATTTGTATTAAATAAAAAGATGTTTAATTTCTGCCTCCAGAGAAAACTAAGATATACTTATCAATTTGAAAATGGTTTTTGATGAACTAACAATGTAGCTTTTTTTTCAGGAACAGTTGGCCACTGGTGAATCAGAACCAACCAGAGAGGATGCTACATCATCAGATATCATTACAGGCTCAGCCACAGCAGAAAGTGGAATCACATCCTCATCTCTCCATATGACACATTTGGAAAGTGAATTAGCTGCTCCCCCTCAAATTACAGATACTTGCAAAGAGAAAAATATGCTAATTGCTGTAACTGCTGAAAGTAATTCTGAATCATGCAATAAGCCAACAACACATGAAACCAACTTGTCTGTTTCCACAATACTGCCATCCCCTGGAACTGCAGGTGGCAAAATACCAGCACATGAAGCAGAGAATGCATTGAGTAACAAAGACGACAGACCAGATGAACATCAAACTGCTGCTGACAAGGTAAGTGGCATTCATTCTGGATTCGTGTCAGAAATAATGGATTGCATTTATATAGCGCTTTTCGGGGCCCTCAAAGCGCTTTACAATACCACTATTCATTCACTCTCACATTCACACACTGGTGGAGGCAGCTACAGTTGTAGCCACAGCTGCCCTGGGGCAAAGTAGTCAAAGACAAGAAATGTTATTCAGATGATCAAAATATCCAGAAAAGACAGAAATCTACAAGCCTCAGCCTACCAACAAAGGGAACTATCAAAAGGACCAATTGTAAAGTCAAACAGAGTTTTAACCCTCAAACTAAATTTTGCACAGAAACGCAATATCATAATAAGTATATGTTATCATGTTTTTTTTATTATACATAATATAACAATGAATATGTCATTTATCTACCGATGTTTATGAAACTTCCTCTTTCTGAATATGAAAAACTGTTTTGTTCTCTTTTTACACCAAGTTTATCCATTTCAGTCAGGCCAGTTTGGGTTGCCATAAAGCTGTAAATACTTTTCCGTTATCATGTACATTTGTATGCTCAAAAAAGTGGTTAAAGATGTAAGCTACCATGACAATAATCAGCACATCAAATTTTAACCACAGCCGAGAAGAAAACCCAGTAAGTCGATCAAGATCAGGCTTCAAAATATGTTAAAGAAAAAAAAGGAAACATCGCCCAACAAAACTAAGGTATTATAAATTCAAATAAATTGTTCTAACTCTTAAACTGAATTTGTACAAAATGCAAAATCACAACATCAGTAAAAACATTTTTTTTCTTTTATTATAGTCATGTAATGATTTTGCCAGTGTGAAATCAGTTTTAATTGTGTAATATTAATTAATGGTCCATTTTGATATACAAATAAAAGTGAGTGAGAGAGAGAAAAGAGGACAGTTAGAGAATCAGGAAGTGCAGAGTATCGGTAAGGGTTAGTAATGAGAGCTATGATACCTGTAGAGGTATGGAAATGTCTAGGAAAGAGGACATTGGACTTTTTGAACAGACTGTTTAACACACTCTTGAAGAGTGGGGGATGCTTGAGGGCTGGACAAGAAGTGTACAAGGAGTTGAGAGATGAATGACAGATGGATTCATAGTGGGAGTGTGATTACATCAGGAATCAGGTGGAAGAGAGCTTGGAGAGGTTGAGATATGCTCTGGAGAAAAGAGGAATTAAAGTCAGTTGAAGCAAGACGGAACACCTGTGCATCAATGAGAGGGAGACAGGTACCAGTAAAGCTGCAAAGAGTTAGAGGTACTGACGATATCATGAGGAATTCTAAACCAGGTTATTATGTTTTGACCTTCTATTTTAAGGACAGTGACTTTACTTAAAGTAAAATGTGCTATATAAATCAAATTGCAGTTTGAGTGGCAAGGCTGAGATTGTGCAGAGGAGAGATAGTGAATATTTTGAACAAAGGATGTTGAAGATGGAGCAGCCAGACCAAAGGAAAAGATGAAGACCACAGAGAAAGTTGATGGATGTAGTGAAGGAGGACATGTAGAGTGTTGGTGTGACTATGACTAACCATCTGATTCCTGTATGACTTTTAGAACGTGATTTTCTTTCACTGTATATGTATACATTATGGTATATAAAATAATGAAAAATATATTCTACTTAGTACTTTTTACTTATTAACTTTCGCTTTTTCAAAGGTTGCTGATATTAATTCAGACGAGGAGACAGATTCAGAACTGACAGAGACAAGGGAACCAGGAAATGAAGATATAGGTATCTACAGGCAAAAAACTTCACCCTGCCTTTCTGGACCTCAAGTGGAAGAGAATATCTTGATGCCATCCAGTAAATTTCAGATACCAGAAGAGTAAGTGACAGGACTACAGTATGTATTTGACATTATTTGACATATTAAACTATGAAATTAACATTATTGCCATTTTTTCCTCCTTTTTTCCAGTTCATCAATCAATGAAGAAATACTGGTGTACTTTCATGCTGTCATTTCTAAAGAATTTCATTTGGAACCCAAGAAAGACATGGTTGTCTTAAAATCTGAAGTGTTGTTTGGAAGCTGGGATGGTTTTATTGAAATGGTCCCCAGGTATAGCTTAATAGTTTTTTATAACTAAAAAAAACAACAGAGAGAGAGAGAGACAGAAAGAGTTTTACAAATTCTACACTGAGAATCAAAGAGAGTGAATTTAGACTGCAATTATTTTTAATCATATTC